ATTGATTGGAATTTGAAGAGTACTATTATTTAATTATTATTCAGTGATTGGAACTCTAATGTTCTAAGGAGTTCTATTTTCATTGTACCTTATCAAAATATTAATTGCATCATCATGGTAGAAATACAATGAATAATATTGTACTATTATTTCATTCACCATCATTATTACAATTGTTTACACTTATTCTGTTCAATAATATTCATCATTTGATGATGGGCAACAAATCAATGATTGTAATTTACTGCTAGTTGTGGGGTATCTCCATGTTTTTGTTGTCCATTTTTGTTATGTTGACCATCAATACAAGGCTTGAATGAACGAATCTCTCTATCTCTTTAGATCTCGTTGTTTTTAAATTGTCAAAAGAAAATATTCGAAACATTGACAAGCCTTTGAATTATTTGAATTAGCCTTCTTGAATTTTTGAAACATAAAGATGTCTAACTTTAATCCCTATGATGATGATCCATTTGGTATCACTTCTTATAATACAACTGCAAATGTTACAACAACAACAACATTAACACCTACTATTAATACTAATTCTACATACAATACTACTAATAATGCTGCTAATAGTAATAATAACATATTTAAACCACGTGCTTTTACAACATCTCCAAATAATCAACCACAATTTAATTCAAATTATTTTCAATCATCAAATATCAATACTAATTATAATAATAACATGAATACACCAACTCATTACAACAATAATAATACATTAACATCACCTAATAGTAATATTGGTATTATTAATAATCCAACATCAACACCTAAAAGTCCATCCTATACAACACCTAGAAGATCAACTATTGGATTTGAAGATGATTTTTCTGATACAACTATTACAACACCATTAGATACTAATTTTACAATTGAATCATCTGATTTCTTTTTATCATTGGGTTCATCTCCATCTCATAGACATACTCTCAGTGGTGCAAGTACTAATACAATTAATACTTCACCTCAATTAATGCCATCTTCTAATATTAATATGAATATGAATCATCATTTCATAACTTCACCTAGAAGTGTTATGAATAATACAATGTCAACTGGTAATACTCAAATGATGAGTAATAATAATAGTAATAATGGTGGTGGTGCTCAAAATTCATTCTGGAATAATACATCATCTAATGTCATTACAGGTACTAATACATCACCTATTTATTCAAATGTTAATAATACACCACGTCAAAGTATTGCAAATTCAAATGAATTTATGAATCCTTATAATAATAATACTACCACTACTACTACTACTACTACAATTGGTAATAATAATAATAATAATATTGAAAATCCATCTATTAGTTCTGTTAAATCAATTGAAAAACAAAGTAATACTACTATGAAAAGAAGAAGTAGAACAATGTTTGAATCCAATAATAGAAATAATAACTTTTCAAAGGATTTATTAGATTTTAATCCTTTTTCTACTAATACTACTAATAATAATACTAATACTACTACTACTACTACTAATAATAATAATAATACAATTACAAATTCAAATGATAAAAGTCAACCTACAAGTAAAACACCATTTGATTTATTAGATTTAAAAAATTCACTTCAAGAATATGATGAATTATCAGGTGAAAGTAGTCCAGTTAATTCTAGACCAAAAAGTATGAAATTTTTAAAATCAAATTTTGATCATTTTGATTCAAATTCTTCCAATAACAATATTCGTAATTCTATTAATAGTAGTAATACTAATGATGATTCATCACCAAGTACTACTAATTCATCCATTTCCAATTCAAATATTAATAATAATAATAATACTAATAATAATAATACTTCCAATAATACCATAAATACTATTTAATCAACAACAACAACAACAACAAATGAATAGAGAAATATTATTTCTTGGAATGGATAATAAATTAACAATACCTGAAAATATATTAATGATATGTTTAAGTGATTCAGGTATAGTAAAATCCTATGTTTCTGATCAAATAGAAGAATTATGTATGATGGGAATATTTTGTGAATTAATTTTACATAAAAAAATGACAACACGTCCATTGAGAGATTTATGTAAAGGTAAATTTGGATTACAAGTATTAGATTCAAAACCAATTCAAATAACAAATAAGAGAGATACATCAATTATTGAATTATTAAATGAAGTATTAAATTTAATTAATGGAATTAATGAAAAATGTTTAGCTAAAGATGTAAATCAAATGACAGTTAAAGATTATATTAAAATATTATGTTTAGGTAGAAAAGTTGGAAATGTTTTAATTTATAAAATTGCAAATATTTTAACTAGAATTGGTAAACAATTAAGTGAAAGAAAAATAGTTGATTATAAAAAGACATTATTTCTATTTTTATCATTACCTATTAAAGATAAAATAGAAAGAGATAGATGTTTAAATGAATTAATTTTATTTTTAAAAATGTTAAGAACTGAATTAGATGTACAAGATGAATTAACTTCCATTTATAGTGGTACATTAACTTATGATACTTGTACTGAAAGAATGTTAAAAAATAGACATGATTTTGTTATTTATACTTTATTAGGTATTTTTACTATGAATAATACTGATATTTTATCAAATGATATTATTAAAAATGAAAATGATAGAAAAGCATTAAAAGAACTTTCATTTTCTATTTTTAATATTAATAATAATAATAATAATGGAAATAATTCTAAAAATACTTCATTTAAGAAGCAACAACAACAATTAAAGAAACAACAACAACAACATACAACACTAATTGATGAACAATTAATGGATATGGTTGAAAGTGATGATGATGAACAATCAGAAGATAACATGTTAAGTATTAATAATAGTACTACTATTAATGGTATTAATAATACTATTGGAGGTAATAGTTTAACATCATCCAATAATAATAATTTAACATTGGATAAAAAGACAAATATTAATTTACATCATTTTCCTGAGGGATTAAATTATTTTGAAGAAATTGCATTACAACTCAAGAGATGTATTTATGGAAGTAATAAGCAATAATTGATTGATAATTGATAATTGTTATTTGATATTTGATAATAATTTTGAATTAATTGATATTTGAAATATATTTTGTAACAGTGTAAATAAAAACAATTTTAGAGAACAATGAAATTGATATTTGTTGTAAATACTTTCCATCAACACTAGTCATTTAAAAAGAGTAATGACTAGTGTTGATGTTTGCCATTCATATCATAATGGAAAGTATTAGAATGTTATTTAAATCACACACGAAAGAACTGTTCAATTCAACAATATCAAAAAAAACAAAGTAAAATGATTATGCAAGAATACTTCCCTATTAAGAAACAATCCTCATTCAATGTTGTTAACAATTCCAATAACAACAACAAGTCTTTAAATGTTATTGAAAAGAAACTTTCTAAAAATCCTTTAGATAATTTTCAAGTACTTGTTAGTGCTCGTCCTTCTAAACAAGTTTTCATTCCAACTGTATCATCTAATGTTGTTGAAAATTCCATTATTGTTAAGAAATTTCCATTTCCATATTTGAAAAGAAAGTCAATTAGAGTTGATTTGGTTTTGAAACAACAAAAATTGGCACAACAAAAGAAGAATTCATCACCTATTCAAAAATTGAGAAATGAAAAGAAACAATTAGAATTAGAAAATTCCAAATTGAAATCTAAATTACTAAATTTAGAAAATCAATTTAATCAATTAATTAATCAAAAATCAAAGAAAATGGTAACATTTAAACAAGAATGTGAATGTACTAAATGCCACATGTCAATTAATTCTAAATATATGAAATATCATAAGAGAATATGTGGAAATGTTAAATTAAATAGAATTTTAAATGAAAATGATTTAAAAAGTTTACAATTAATTAAAAAGAATAATCAACAAGAACAATTATCAATTAAACCAAAAAATAATTGGAGAAGAAAGAGACAAGAATTTATTAGACAAGTAAAATCTATCAAAAGAAATAATTTGTAAAATATTTAATAAAAATTAAATACAACTCTGAGTTAATAAAATTAAAATTAAAAATTAAAATTTATTTTGGACAATATTTTGGAATTTCATATAAATTTAAATCTGATTGACCAATAATAAAATCAACATAATCAGTTGCACCTGGATCATTTTCTTGATTTGTAGAACGTAATGGAATTCTATCTTCCATTTTATCAGCAACTCTATGATAATATTTCATACCATCTAAATCATCTATATTTGGAAATTGCCAAATATCACTATATAATCCTCTAAATAAACTTCTACCAATATAATTAGTAATTTGTAACCAATTAGGTGAAATTAAAGGTAAAGTTCTAGATCTAATCCAACATTCTTGTGTTTTAGGATAAATATACCAAACAGTTGAATTCCACCATAAAATTGTAAAGTTTGTTGCACCCCATTCATTATTCATACTATAATAGGAATCAAAAAAATCAAATTTACCTAATTGATTTTTATAATCATAATATAATTTTGTCCATTGAATATCTGTATTAAATGGTGTTATTTTTAATAGGGTTGCATTAAATTGTAATGGCCATATTGGATTGGTTGGTATTATTGTATTTGTATTAGCATTAGTAGTTTTGGAATTACTATATTTAGATAGAGTTCTAAATTTGTATTGTTGATTTAATTCTTGAATTTTTAATAATTGAAATGGAAGTGTATTTTCATAGATTTTAGTACGTGGAGTAGATGAGTGATAAATAGAAGTAGCAGTAGTAGATGATATTTTAGAACATTCACTCATGCAAGAAATGAATGCAATGATTACAATGAATATTATTGCAATACTATTATTATAGGATTGTTGTTGTTGCATTTTTTTTAGAATTGATAAGATCCTCACACTGAAGTTGTACCTGTTTAAATAGGCATCCTGTTAGTGCTCATGTTGTGGAGTAACTGAGCAGAAATTCGGAGTCTGTTACAATGTCATTTTATTATTTTGGAAAGTTGACCATTTTGAATTATTCGCGCCAAAATATTTACCTTTATTTTGGTGATGGAAACGTAAAAAGGTTGAAGAAATATGACGATAGTGTTTGAATATAGTTAAAATTAACTTCTTTATTGGTTTTTATGAAATGGGGTTTAAATTGACCAGTAAGTTGCGATCAAAATAAAGGTAAATATTTTGGCGCCAACATTTAGCAACTGCTCTTGTGTACTGTGTTAACAACAAGGTTGACATGTAAAAAAAATCAATAAACTTTTATTCAAAAATATCTGCTGACCGACGGGATCGAACCGGCGACCAATGGCTTATTAGACCAACGCTCTACCGACTGAGCTACGCCAGCTTCTCTAACTCCTTAATCCTTAATGAACTCATCAACTACGTTACAATTCTTGTAGGATAGCACGATAGCTGGTACCGATATCAAAAATTAACCCAAGCAAGCCAATCCGTTTAGCTAGCGGGAATTATTGGTGATGTCACATTTCTTAAGAACATCAGAAAACTTGAAAAAAATAAGCAAACCATTCATCATCAAAATAACATGAAAGCAAAAAAGAAAAATCTCGTGCTCCAAGGACAAGAAATATTTTCATCTGATGTTTGTTTTGAAATAATTTCCATAATTGATGATTCGTGGTTTATTTTGAAGAATTGTTCCTTGATTTCAAAACAATTCTTTAATGTGATCAAGGAACGTTCAAAACTTTTTATCGAATTTAAAACAAAATTTACAGAGACAAGAATTGAATTATTCATGAAAAGTCAATTTATGAACAGTATTGTTAATGTTAAATTTTCTAAAATGTTGTTTGACTCTATAGAAAAAGCCAAATTTATAACTGAAATGAAACAATTAACATTACTTGATATTGGTGGAAATCAAATTGGTGATGAAGGTATCAAACCAATAAGTAAAATGAAACAATTGACATCACTTTATGTTTACAATAATCAAATTGGCGTGGCAGGAGCCAAATATATTGGTGAAATGAAACAATTAACATCACTTACTATTAGTGGAAATTACATTGGTGATACAGGAGCCAAATTTATAAGTGAAATGAAACAATTAACATCACTTAATACATGCTACAATGAAATTGGTGTAGAAGGAGCCAAATCAATAAGTGAAATGAAACAATTAACATCACTTGAAATTGGTGGAAATCGAGTTGGTGATGAAGGAGCCAAATTTTTAATTGAAATGAAACGATTAAAATCACTTGATATTTAGTATTGTACAGACAATCTTTTTTGTGAAGCGAACATTGTTATTATCATTAGAGCAAGTCTTGGTGGAGTGGGATTGAAACAAGCAAGGAAGCAAGGTATTGCATAGATTGGAGCCTTAAAAAATCATTTGAAGATAAATTGTAACGTAGACTCTTAATTTCTAAAAAAGACTCTTTTTGACTTACAGTTTTATAAAATACCGGCTTTATTATACCGTCTGAGCTATCAGAAAGGATTTAAAATTGATCATTACCAGTTTGGCAAAACAGTTAAATTGACCTCAATAAATCATTATTTGCCTTAACATCCAAAATCGATCAAATATAAAACTATCCGATGAGACGGAATCGAACCGCCGACCACAGGATTACAGTTTTTCTTGCTACAGTCCCATGCTCTACCAGCTGAGCTATCATCGGTATCTATCTTAACAATGAAAAGTATATGGTCTACCCATTATATCCAAAGGCTTATCTCATAAACCAAATCGTCCACAACTGTTCTAAGAAATGAATAGTGTAAATATAGGTAAAGATCTTGAATTTACTCCTTGGTAGTACAACAAATAGTAAATTTATTTCACCACAATGAATCATCAATATTCTATAAATTATTTCTTATTTGGTTGTTTGTTAGTTGATTGTAAAATTAAAGCATTTTCATCTTCTAAAACCTTTTCAGATTTTGATTGTTTAACAGTAATTGTTGAATTATTTAAAATCAATGCCACGTGTTCACCATTATTTGTTAAATTTACAATAAATGATTTAACCATTGGATCAATTAATGGAATGTGAATTCTCAAATCAATACAATGGAATGGATCATCAGTCAAATTACATCTTTTAACTTTTGGAATTGAACCACGAATGACACCACTTTGTGAACTTGTCATTGATTCTGTCATTTGATGAGCTAACATGTCATTAATCCAAACTCTGAATGGTTCATCTTCACTTGCAGGAATAGCAGCATAATGAAGATAAATTCTACTCATTTGATCATTCTTATCACCTAATTGATTAGTATCAAATGAATCATTATGTTGTTGTTTGATTCTAATATTATTTCTATTTCCTTCTTGAGTAATTAGAATTTGAATGAATTTACCATGTTGAGAGAGATTGAAATTTTGTTGAGTATAAATATTTGCTTCAGGCATATCAATTAATAGAGAAACAATGCAATCTTCTCTTGGTAGTTTTGGAAAAGTACCTCTGACAATAACTGTTTTACCAGATGGAGTTGAATCCTCTCTCTGATACATGACTGTTTTACCTTCATAAAGTAATTTAAATGGTTTCTCAGGTGTTGCCTTAATATTGGAAATGTAAATTGCCAAATCCATAGTTTCACCAAATTCACCTTGTTGTTTCTTCTTATTTTCAATAATTTTAGAAGGTGCTTGATCTTTCTTTAATCCCATAACTTGTCTCTTCTTTTCATCATATTCTTCTTGTTCTAAAATACCTTGTTCTAATAGAGAATCTAATTTACTCAATTGATCTCTTTGTTGAGGTGTTAATTTTAATTTCAATCCTGAATCGTCATCATCATCATCATCATCTTCATCTCCATATTCATCTTCATCTTCATCATCATCTGGTAATAATTGTCTCTTCTTTGCTTTATATTCTTCATCTGTTAAAATTCCTGCATCAAGTAAATCTTGAAGTTTTTGTAATTGTTCTTCAACTGTTGCAGTAGAATTGGATTTCTTTGAAGATTTCTTAACAGTTGTTGTTGTAACCATAGATTCAGATGGTCTCTTTCTTTCTTCTTCCAATTTTTTACGTTGTTGTCTCAATAGAGTTTCCTTCTTTGAAATTACTTCATCCTCTGATAAAATTTCAGATTCAACTAAATTGGCCAATTTTTCCAATTGTTGAATTTGATCTGGTGTTAATAAATCTCTTTCTTCAGGTGTTAAATTTAATTTATAACCAGAGGAGGAATTAGAAGAAACAGCAGCAGTAGTAGTAGTAGATGGTTTCTTTGAAATGGTTGTACTAGCTCCTACTCTCTTTGATGATGAAATAATTGGTTGGTCATCTGAATCATCATCTTCATCTTCAGTTGTAGAATCTTGAAGAATTTTCTTTCCAATTGCAGATTTCAATGCTGATAATTCTCTATCACTATTACTTTCATCACCACCACTTACAATAACAGCTTCATCACTACTATTATCACTACTGTTAGATGAATATTTGTTTGATGTTCTATTGTTACTACTACCACCACTACTAGTAGTAGTGTTGTTGACTTGTTTGTTAATAATTGGTCGATTATTGACAATTCTATTAGATGATGATTTAATAATTGGTTCATCATCAGAATCATCATCTGTTGATTCGGCAACAATATGTTTACGTTGTTGACTTGATGTTGATGATGTTGTTGTTGTTGTTGGTTTGGTTGTTGTTGTTGTTGATTGAGATGGTGTAGATTTTTGACTAACAATTGGTATTTCTTCTTCTTCATCTTCTTCTTCAAAGGAACCTCCCGATAAAATCTTTTTCTTTTCCTCCTCTATTAGAGTTTAGTTTTAAGTTTCGTAAGTGATGATAATACTTACCAAAATCTTCAGGATCCATCAAACCTTGGTCAAGGAATGATTGAAGAATTTGAATTTGTTCTCTTTGCTCATCAGTAATGTTAACCATCTTGTTTTTTTTTTGATTTAAATTAATTTCGTCATTCACTTGTCAAATTTGACAATGAGATTATGAATGAAGGATTCGTTACAATGTCAATATTTAATAATACTATAACAACCTTTATTTAAAGTAAATTGGTCTTTCAATATAATCTATTTCAATATAATCTATGAATTATTTAAGGTAATATTTTCAACTAGTAAACTAATTATATAGGTAAGTAGTAGCAACAATAATTTCAAACCCAAATGAAATTATTAATAATTTGAATAAATAATTAAGAAATGTGTTGTTGAACAATGTGTTGATGATTATTAAAACCAATGCCACATTGATCATCACCAATGAGACTCTTAATTGGTGGTAAAATCAAACCTTCTGAGGCAATTGGAGTGGCAATGGTGGTGCTTGATGAATTACTTGATGGTAAATTATTAAAACCATTAGTTGTTGTTCTACTATTGAAATTTCTATAATCACCAAGTGAAGGAATACGTTTCTTCAATGGTTGAGCATGATAATTCATAAAATTGGTTGAATGAAGAGATGAAATTGGTGGAAGAATTCTTGGAGAGGAAAACTTCTTATCAGAGGAAGCAAATTGGAATAACATTGAGGCAGCAGCTATTTCATCACCAAAATCTTGACTTTGATTTGAGGTTTGAGATTGTTCATTATAGAGACGGTGGTGATGAGTAGTAGTGTTATTACCAATGATGGAACTACTTGTTGGATGAGAATAATTATTACTCATATCAGAGAAGGAAATGTTAGAAGTGTTGAGGTGATCAATGGTTGATTCCTTATGTCCTACAACAACAATTGGTTCTTGTTCGTCATCATTTTCTTCTTCAGCAATAGGTTCCTCTTCTTCGGATGGAATGTACTCATCTTCTTCAACATCTTCTTCAGCAACAACAGTTTGTTCAATAGGCTTGCTGGAGATTTGTTGAGGAATGAAGGCTGCACTACTTGTTGAGGCAAAACCAATTCTCGAAGATGGAGAAGTTTGGATGACAACTTGTTCTTCACTGGCAGCCTCTTGTTGGTACTCAACAACCTTTCTCTTCTTACTGTGTTGGGAGGTGAGGGTAGGAGTAGAAGCAGAAACAATCTTTCTGGCTGATCTGGTTACTGGTTCTCTAATAACTTCTTCCTCTGATTCATATGAATCTTCTTCTTCCTCTGCAGATACTTCTTCTTCCTCTTCGTGGGTTCTCTTGTTCATTCCCTTCTTCTTTGGTGTAACGGTTCTAATGTATGGCCATCTGTTTTCATAACCAAGGCTGTAGAACTTTCTCTTTAAAGTTGAGACAGAAACACCAAGCTAATTTGATAGCAATAATGGTGAGAGGATAATGTTATCCAGCGTATGATGATGACATTATTCATCATAATAAATAATTATTATTTAATTTCATAATAATTAATATATGGAATAATTAACGTTCAGAGAGAAGACAAAAACGGTTAATAACGTGTTAATTCAAAATAATGATGACAAGTTAATACAAACCTTCTTTGCAGCTTGCGATTGAGTATAAACAAAGTATTCTCTAATTGTTTCATAGGTAAGAGTGTCGAGCTTGCGATGTCTTCCCTTCTTCTTTAGACTTTTGGAAGAAGAATTGTCCAAATAATAACTTGGATCTTCGTAGGTTAATGCGCTCATTGTATTATTCACGATTCAAAGAATTATTGTTGTTGTTGCTATTGAAGCAAGTTACTAAAATTATGTTTGTAAATAATTAATAGTATTAATGATGATATGGAGTCTTGGCGAAAGAGCTCACAAAAGAATAAACAAGTGCAATAATTATTGCAATAATTTGATTGTTAATATATTGTTGGGCTGTATGGTCTTGGTCAAGAATCTTCCTTGGCACGAGCGACTCTGATATTATCTTGTATGTTTTGTACAGGCAAGAATTAGCACACAAATATGAACCAATTGAAGGTGATGAATTAGTTTTTTTTAATTTTAAAAATCTCGGAATGGCTGATGGATCTTCCAGTCGCTCAGCTTCGGAATCACCAAGCAAAACAAACGCGCACTTCAAGTATGAGATCTGTGGGAGATTTTAGTCCAGCACTTTTTTGACCTTCATTTGAAATCGCTTTGCACAAACATCTATTCTATTATTTTATGGCAATAATAATTAATCTGTACAATCTCAAGACTTGAAAATATACAATACATCTTATTAGTGATGCAAGCCGTTCTATTCGAATAACATCCATATCACCGGTTTAATAATTTGTTTTTATCTTATTTTGATTGATTTCATTCACTACAGTCTTTTTCTCACCTTGAGTCATTTTTCTTATTTGGGTTGCTTTAGTTTTCAACACGAAATGTGCTGCAAAAGATATTTGTCAATTAAATCATTCCTGATAATTTTCAAAAGAAAGAACACCTCTCATTTCGAAATATTCTATTAAAGGGGTCAATTTGACAGTTTCATTTGCATTTGACATACAAATATGATATCCAACATTTTCCAATCCTTTGAATTCAATAAAAATCCGCATATTAGAAATAATGTTACTAATGATCACTTCTCCATCCTTGTGTTGAATGGTCAAGAAATCTGGAATACATTTAAACGACTCCATCTTATTGGTATTGAATGAGTATTTGGCTAATAGTTGATTTCCATCAATTTTCATATCATTCAATGGACTATCATATTGATAACCACTATTTAGTAACTTCCATTTTGCAAATAGTTCAATATTTTTACCATTCATTACATATTTAATGAGGTAGAGTGGTAATTCAAGTGCTTTCAAATCCTCATTCACAATAAAACAGTGTAGAATATCAATGAATGTAGAATTCATGAGTTTCATCTTATCTAGTAAGAAACATCGCAGAATTGGATTAGACACTTTCAGTATTTGTCCTTTGCATTCATCATTATGGAGATAATTGGCCAATTCGAACAATGATACCAATATTTGATAATACTTCTCTATTGGAGGACTTTGGATGATATTGAATTGAAGGAAACAGTTATAGAATGCAATTGTGTCGTTAGTAATCTTCTCGTGCTCAGTTTCTATTGTCAATAGAGTTGATAAATCTTTCTCCAAATATTGGCCAACAGGTTTAAACTCTCCAGTTGCTTTTGGGTTATAGCAGAACTCATTTTCATTCACAATTAATGACCTATCATGTTCAGTTCCAAAAGTTTCAAAAGCATTATGGAATCTCTTGAATTTCTGCTTTGGATGGTTTAATTTTTCCATCCACAATTTAGCTTGCAATAAATTTTTCTTCACTCCAACTCCATAATTAAAGCAATCAATGATAAATTGAATTGCCATAGTATGATGTTGTTGAGCTGCCTTATAACCCCAATCAAATGCCTGTGCAAAATCTTTCTTTACCCAAATTCCTTCATTAAATATGCGTGCCATTTGGTATTGGGCCTCATCATGTCCATTGTTAGCAGATTTCGACAGCCATTTGTGGGCACGTTCATAATTCTTATCAGTATTGAGAAAAAACATTCCAACCTCAAATTGTGCAAGTGAGTTATCATTCTTGGCAGCTTTCAATAACCATTGAAAACCTTCTCTTTGATCCTGTTGAACATCTTGCCCATTTTTCAACATTATTCCAACGTGGTATTGAGCCTGAGCATCCGTTTCCGCTAGTTTCATATAATATTTGAATGATCCCATAATTAATACATCAGAGGATTTTGTTACAATTTCCACATCAAAAAGCTTGGGATTATGATTAATTTTCAATACAGGATACTCTTCTAATACCTTTTTCAAAGTAAAATAGGCTGAAGAAGCTGTGGTTCCTATTGCAACTTTTAGTAGAGTTTCATTCCTTAATTTTTCACAATTTTCAACACACTTGTCAACTTGAATACACCACACTTTTGGAGTTGCTCGTAGTTTTCTAACGTGTTTAAAACCAGCAGTTGTATAATACATATCTACAAGGCCATCCTCTGATCCTGAAAATATGAAATCACCCTCAAAGATACATGTTGTCACAGGTTCTGGATGAATTTGAGATAATTTCACAATGCATTCTCCAGAGTCACAGTCAAATATTTGAGTGCTTCCATCATCAAACGAGGCAACAAACCAATTTCTTCTATTGTAATCATTTCCTCTGTAAAAATCTACACAGTTGACTGGAGATTTTGTCTTGATCTTTTTGCTACTTGGTTTTGGTTTGCCTATTATTCACTATTTAATTTTATAAATATTCGAATAAACTTACTCGATATTTTGAAAAGACTCTTATCTGAATCTGTTTCTCTATATTCACTCAATTGCTTAAATGGAATATTCCACACAGTAACTGTTGAATTCAAAGAACCTGAAATTACAATATCTGTATTGAAACAATTCATAGACATGGACATGACATATTTTTTTGGATCTAAACTAACATTTGACATGACGTGTTCAACAGCAAACTTCTTCTCCCAATTCCACAATAAAATTTTTCCATTATCACCACCTGCCATAATGAATGGATATTTAGGATGTACCATTAGACATCTAACATATTCACCAAAAGGCACTCTAACAACTTCTAAATCATTTTCATAATCAATAACATGTACATTTCCCCTATCAGTACCACAAACAATATATTTCAATTGATTAATAAATTTTAAACATCGAATAGGTGCTTTCGGTTCAATAGTAAAGGTATAGTGTAATTGTAATTCATCAGCACTATTTGATTCACCTGTTGTTGTAACTCTAACTCTGAATACTTTAATAAAACCTTCATAGGAAGAAATTGCTAGTAGTGTTCGATCATGATTGAATTCTATTGCTTTGACATAGGGAACAAGTTGATTATTGGTGATGGGAATGGATTTTAATTCATGAGTGAGCAGAGTTTTGGAAAGATTGGGAAAGATTATCTTGTTTTGATCCGAAGTTGGCTTGAGTTTGGCAAGTAATTTCATTTTTTAAAATATTTTTTTAATTGTTTTAAGTAAAATAATACTTCAACTGTCAAGGGTTAAAATCTACCTGAGATCTGTTGTCATTTTTTAAGCAAGTAAACTAAAATAAGATAAAAGACTAAATGCCTAATGAAGTGATTAACATATTTTCATACTCGCCCTAATGAAATTGTTTATTAGTACACTGAAATAATACTGCCCTATATTAATACTGGTTCAACATCCCATTTACAAAGAAGGCGCACTATTAATAATGGATGAGAGTTGTTTGAATCCATTTTCCAAATCCTTCTTGGAGGATGCACATTTGTTCATCCCAACAAGTGAATAGACATTTTTGAGTTGGAATAGTAAAACTAATAAAATAAAAATAAATAAGTATGTATAGTAGCCTCTTTATCCATTATGGCTAAGATTACAAAAAATTAAAAAACTTTAATTTTAAAAAAAATGCCGTTACATGAAATAGTGGAAAGAATTCTGTTATCCCGAGAAGGCAAAGAAGAAGAAGAATCAATTCCGTGGGTACAAAATGAAAGCTTTGCCAACATTGATTTTAATTCTACTCACCTCTCGGATCAAGTTGGAAAATCAGGCTTTGATATTACATTTAATTCTTGCCAATTTGAAAATTGCAAATTTAATTTAGATCTCTCCATGAAAATGTTATTTAGAAATTGTAGCTTTACTAATTGTATATTGGAAAATTCAATTCCGAAATTTTGTTGTATCAATCTGGACAAGTATGAACCCGATTATTTGTTTAATTGCAAATTTAGTGGAAATTTTACAAGGATTCATAGAATTAATTTGAGAAGTTGTCGATTGGAGGCTAATCATGTAGAGATTGGTGATTTGGCCATTTCATTGAATGCTGATGATGATTTTGCTTTGGAGAATTGTAATTTGCAATCAAGTAATGTTTCCATAGTTAAAGTGTGGGGAAAACAAACTCCGAAACGAGAAGGCCTCTTGAAAGCAACACAAATTGCCAAACAGTATCACATCAGAATGATTTATTGTGATCATTGCTATTCTGTTTTCAAAAATCTTGCATTATCAAAGGAAAAGTGTTGTTCCAAGAAGTGTATCATTAACATTTAATAGTATCTCACTTTATATTCTTCATATCATTTGAGAGGATGAAGATGAAAAATTTTGAAATATTACTTAAGACAAGAAGTTGGGTTTTGGTAAAGATCAAAAAAAATGTCAAGAGTATTCTACATTGCTAATATCCTTCAGTTTGATAGTGAGTTTTTTTACATTTTTTACAAGCATCAATGATGATGATCAACAAAATTTACCATAGATTTTATTTCATACACAAATACTGATAAATTTGTCAGATTAGAGATTGATGGTAAATCTTCCTTTACTTTTAGTAATATTATCGGAGGAGACAAGAATTTATTCTTTGTTTGTGCATCTTCTAATAGACTGGTCGAGATCAATGCTGAAGAACATAATAGACATAAAACACACAATGCAGTAAAAACTCCTATTACTTTGATAGATCACGATAAAGATAATAGAATAGAAATGACAAAGATTGAATATCCAAATTTGATGGAGGACTCTATTGTTTATAATATTCAATATTTTATGGGAAAGGATTATGTGTATTTAGTGGACAAAAAAAATGGGACTGTTGGATCTTTTTCTCTCAATTCAGGCCAATTGTTAGTTAACTATTATTCAGATCATAGAGGAATCAGAAAGTTTATCACTGGACCTGTTTCTTCTTGTCATGTCGTGCTGACCTATGATGGAACTATTTTTGAGAATGGAAAGGAGGTTGTTTTTTTTTCAACTGATCCACAACCGAATATTTTGAGAGCTGCATGTTGTGGAAGAGGATCAATTCTGGCTTCTTCTCATGATCTTTATGCAAGAGGAGATGATAATGTATTCTTTGCGTTTTCAGAAAAGTTTGGAGACTACAATCACAATGTTTCAGCAACAAAGTTTGTACATATTGCTAAATTTGAACACGAAATTAGAGATATCCAATGTGGATACTTTTTTTCTGTAGTTCTTTTGCATAATAATGAATTATTGGCATGTGGCTATAATGGCTTGAATCAATCCTCTTGGGATTCTTCCTATGGTGAGATTAAACAATTTACCAAAATTCAATACTCGTTCGGTTATATTGAGAGATTTGGCTGTTCTTCAAGAGGTACTTGGGTTGTTAGTGGTGAGTATTTTGATGTTCTTTTTCTTATCTTTTTAAGGTGATGAGGTTACAATGGTAGGAGAGGTTGTTGAACTTTTTACAACCTTAGTTTCAAATACAGGAGTTCCAAAAATCATAAAGTTTCATCTGGAGGACTTTGATTGTGATACATTGATGAATTGTGGATGGCACTACGTGATGTACAACCAAAACCCAAAGAAGAGTAACTATTTCAAAGAAAGACTTCATACCATGGTTGAATTGGAACTAATTACTGACCTTGGTTTCATTTGCCAATAAGGCAACTGGAGGAAATACATTGAAGGAATCGGTTTATTCCTTAAGCACAGCATGTGTCTCTGCCAAGTTTTTAACTTGAGGAAAACTAAGGAAGTCTGGAATTTCAATGCACTTAAAAATAGTTTCTTAACAAAACAGAATATTTGTTGAAAAGTCTGTCGCTGGTAAGAGTGAGTTTATTCAAGAATTGGAAGATCAATTTGATTCTCAAACTCATTTGACTAAGTATAACTGATGCATAACTGTTAAAAGATCCATAGGGTGAGTCAACTAATTGCCAAATGATGATTTGAAGATTAACAAATTTTAAAATTAAGGTATGAGCAATCGATCTCTTATGCACCAATTTGTTTATTAAGGCGAATTAAGGAATGATATTTATCTTTATGTAATCGGGCGTGGTATAGTGGTAGCATTCCAGACTGTCACTCTGGCGACCCGGGTTCAATTCCCGGCGTTCGAGTTCAATTTTATGTAGTTTTTGAAAATTTATCTTGGAGTTTTGTATCGAAGTTTGGACATCATTTTTCTATTTTAAATATGTGTGAAAAATGTCACGAAGCATGTTTGAAACTTTTGTAGTGAGAATATGGAGAGAGTGGATACAATATCATTCATAGAAAGCCTAATGTGTTGTTTAGGTGGTATTGTTGTGTTCTATTAATAATAATTGAAATTAAGGTATGTACCATTTGTTTGTATTGATTTAAATTTATTGAGTTATTAGTGTTGATATATAGTTATAGTAAACAATTAAGAAAACTTGAAAGATTCAGATCAGAATTGTAACACTTGTTAGTGATTGAGTTTCTTAGTAAAAAAAAATGCGAAACAATAAAGAGGGGAAAGTTAGATTTTTTCTTTGTGATTTTAAACTTCCTTCCAGTGATGATAATTCCACTCAAATATTAAATTGGTTAAAAATCAAATTTGGCCAATTAAAATTTTCATCATTTAATTGTTCATCAATAAGAGATTTTAAATTTTGTTCCGATAATTTATTGGAAAGAATTGATAGGATGGGATTTGAAAAACCATCCTATGTGCATAGGCAGTGTATTTTTCCAATGATTCGTTCTCATGAGAGTCAAGATTATTTATTCGAAAATTGTGGTGAAGGAACAGATCGGATTGTTTCGTATGTGATTGGAATTATTGAAAGAAGATATCGAATGAGGAATGAAAAGAATGGAACGACCATTGTGATTGGAAATGGATGGCAATGGGCATATACTGTTAGATATTTGTTAAAATCTTTAGGAGGAGATGATTTGAAAGTTTGTTTGTGTTTGGAAGGATTCAGGGCAAGTACTTTTCAAGGAAATGAGGATGTGATTGTTGGAATTTGTAACAATGTGAACAATCTTGTCAATTCTGGGTCTCTAAAAGCAAAGGATGTAAATTTATTGATTATTGATCAAGCTAATCATTTGATTTTTGATTTAGATTGTGGTTTACATATACTGATGTGGAATTTTAATTGTAAAGTTTGTTGGTTTTGTCTAACTGATTGTCTGAAGGAAAATCCTCTGAGAGATCCCATCAAGATTCAAATATTGAAAGATGGAACAGATTATCCTGATCTGAGAGCTTCTTACTCTAAGAATTTTTACATTGATGTAGAAATTGAAGACTACAAATACGAAACTATCAGTGATTTATTCGATATTTTGGATGGTCTTCGAGCAGTAGTGTACTGTGAATCAGATGAGAAAGCTAAGGCAATTTGTGAAAAATTGCAAGATCGGTTTCTTGTAGCATGTTTACACAGAGGCCTTGGAGAAACACAAATTGAGGAAATTAGACAAGATTTTAATTGGGCAAAGGTTAGATTTTTATTTACAACAGATCATTTCTCTAAACTTGAATATCATCCAGTCTTGGTGATAAACTATGATTTACCATGGCAAAATGAAAAGTATGCACTTCGACAAATCACATCAAGGTTTAGAAATACAGCAACTATCAGCTTGATACGACACGAAGACGTTATTAAGATTAGAGAAATTGAGAAATTTTATTTCATTGAAATTCAAGAATGTCCGTATGCCATTCTCGATTACCTTTGATGAATTTCGAATGAATAGAAAGACAAGAAAAGGATATCCTTCTTTGAAAAGAATACTGCTGATATCTTCAATTTTGGATATTAATTTATACATATTAATTATTACATAGAAATTTTCCTTCAATTCATGAATTTCAATTTGGGAAATAGAAAACTAAAAGTAATTGTTAACTGTAAGGGAACTGACCTCAGGTGCTGTGAGTGCCTTAGTGAAAATCATTACATTAGCAATATATCCAGTATAGTAATAAGTTCCAGCATTGTGTCCACCAATGGTCAACTTTCCATCACTCAAATTCTTGGAGGCAATTGAAGTTGCACTGGTCTTGTATAATGATCCGTCAATATAGAGATCAGTACCATCAGTTCTAAAAACAAATACTAAATGTCTCCAAACATCGGTTGCAAATAGGGTTCCATCAGTTACAAAAGGTGTAGTAAACTTGTCATCATAAAAACTAAACCCTTTGGCAGAAGCAACGTTGAAGAAAATGTAATTACCATTAGTACTGAAAGCCATTGCAACACCTCCATAAGGGCTCTTAAGCCACAATGAAAAGCTGTTGGAAACTGTAAGATTGACATTCACAGTAGAAGCGAGACCATTCTTCTTTCCATCGAAATAAACTGATTTACCACCTGGGAATGGTGAATCATTGGAAAAGACTGGATTTGAAGAAGCACCTTGATTTGGATTGTTAACCAAGTGGAGAGAACCAACACTATCAGCGAAGGTATTATTGAAATAGTAAGCATGGGCAAGATATGGAGTCATTGGTGCTGTGAAAAAGGAGGAACAAGAGGCTCCAATATATGGTTTTGTACAAGTGCAATTATTAGGAGCAATACATGAACCGTGTCCAGAGCAAACCGAAGCATTATTAGCAGCCAATCCAAAACATACTGGGACACAGTTAGGATAATTGGTAAAACCATCTTGGCATGCATTACAATCAGAACCATTGTAAGTGGAACACTGGGAATTAATGACACGAATTTCAGCATCTAATAAGGCTATTGCTGAAGCAACTTTGGACAATTGCTTGCTTCTCAAATCAATAATGGTCTTTAAAGATGGTGCTGATGAAGAATTACTAGTAAAGAAGGTGCTGTTTAACAAGTTAATAGTATTCTCTAACTTGGTTTTGGTGCATGCCACAGCATCTCTTTCCTTTTGTAAAGAAGCTAAATAATCCCTCAATCCACCTGTTGTTTGGTGAAGAGTAAGTGTTATATTGGCTAGTAAGAGGAAAACTACTAGCAGCGCGCAAAACCTTAGCAATTGAATCATGTTGTTGTTGGTTGGTATTAAGGAAGATCGTACTTAATCCTGTGAGGAGTTTTTTTTGAAAACAGTGGTCCTTTTGATTGGTGCTTGTTTGGTCGCATCTTCGTTTACAGTAAAATCCACTGTAACGGATAGTTTTTTAAGGAACTGTATTGGAATGGATTGTTGAGGCTTTCAATATTGTAGATTATTGTTTATACGACTTGATAAATTGCAACCAAATCAATATGGTTGGATATTAAGCAGCGGATATCGACTTTGAATGTGATTTTGTTGAATAAAATTGCATGAAGTTCGATTGTATGTTGTCCCTAGTGTCAGGACGGTCCTTTATTTTGTCGATCTAAAATGAGGAAATCGCTCCCCACAAAACAAAAAACAGATGGACCAATTTAAAATAAATAATTTTGGTTTGCTGTTTTGTCTAACAAAATCAAGATTGTTTGGACCAACATAACATTAATGATTGTATGTTGTCTAGTCTGATGGTAACAGTAAAAATGGAGCCTGACATCAAAATAATAATGATAATTTAAATGGAAAACTTAATGTATTCGTGAAATTGAGCAGATGATCCAGGATAAAAATCTTGTTGAAATTGTAAATGTTTTGCTTCTTCTTGAATTGTAACAGAAGATTTAATTGTTTGAAGAGATTTGATAACATCACTTTTCGTTGGTTGTGATAGGGCATTAAGACTAATATTGAAACTATTATTGGTAGCCATTAAGGCATTTCTAATAATGTTCATCTGTGAATCCCTTACTACACACATTAAATCCGCATATGAATATCCATCACACATTGTGGAAATCTCCTCAATTTCATCATCTTGTATTGAACTATTTCTAAATGCATCTCTCAATATCTCAATCCTTTTCTCCTTATCTGGAAGAGGAATGTGAAATCTCCTCTTAAATATTTTCCTCACAGCTGGATTAATATTCCAAGGTGTTGAGCTTATAACCAAAACAATTACCCTACTCTCACGATCATACATGGATTGGAGAAATTCTTTCAAAACTGAAATTTCCTTCTCTGAATTACTATTCCAATCACAAAATTCCAAATCATCGATTACTATAATACTTGGTTGACTAAGTTTTGCTTTTTCAAATACTTCTTGCATTGAACGTTTAAAATCATGATCTTGAGTGTAGATTACTTCTGCTTTTATCCTTTCATCGGTGAGTATTTTCTTAGTTAAATAGGTTTTACCCTTTTCCGATCAAATCAAAATATTAAATTTAATATTACTCTCCAAATGATCATGATATTTGCTTACCACTCCTGGACATCCGTGAATTAATATTTCATTCCAAACTTTTGCATCAGGATATTCGAGAGGGAGAAGAATACTCTCAAGAAGTTCTTCTTCAATGCTAAGTTTTTTCTGTTGCAGCTGTTGTTCTTCTTCGCTAATAGAGGAAATTGTGGAATTGTGTTGTAACATTTTTTTGTTGTAATGTTGATTGCATTCGTACACATGATTGTTTATTAATAGTTTGAAAGGTCGACTTGATTAAATGATGGAACAATGTAGTAGCACCATCGAGTGGAATTATTCAATGGAGGTCTTGAAATTATAAATGTGATTGAATTTGACTTCTAATAAGCTTAGTTCTTTGATTGCGTTTTGGATCAATGAATCAATGAGTTGAGTTTTTTCATTGGATTTCTTCTTGCATAGTTTCTTATGAGCTGATTTTGCTTCCTCTAAACATTGAATTCTATCCTTGAGAGCTCTTGGTATCCTTTCTTGCTTAATATACGAATGGGCACGATCATTTCTATCATTAATGATGGATTGAACATCTGAAAGCTTGAATAATTCTCTGAATTTCCTAACTCTGGAATTTTCGTCATCCACCATTTTGTCTTCGCATGCTAATACTGACCTAATACAATCGGTGAATATCTTATTGATGTGATTGTATTGATCCTCGATTGAAATCTTTTGTTTCTCTAAGCAAAGGGTACTTTTAAATGCTTCGAATCTTCCAAGACAAGTAATAAGCTGTTTACACAAATCAAAATTACCAGAATCAAACAGTTTAAAGAATACCTTAATAATATCAATATCTCCTTTCAGAATTGCTTTAGCAACAAGGAGAGTGGCTGCATTCTCGGAGGGTGGGGCTGATTTCTCCCTGTGTTTCAGTACAATCCCATTCACAGTTACAGGATCCTCCATGGTAATGGTTGAAATCAAGCGAATCATCAAATCATCGTCGTTACAAATATGAGGAATTATTTCTTTACATTTGAAAGTATTATTTTCCAATGCGGCAACCAAGTCCAGTTCTGTAAAATTAGTAGTTGATTGATCTGGTTGTTGAATCTCCTTATCAGCTGCCCATGCTGTCTCTTTTGTATCTTTTACATGTGGTTTTGTTGTTGTGCGTTTCTTCTCCTTTCCAATAGGCTTTGGGGCTGTAGTGGAACTCAAATTAGCAACCACAGTTTTCACTACTGTAGTATTTGATGAAGAAGCAGATTGATTCGAAACTGGTAAAGGTATTCTTGCAAGTACAGTTTTGACTTGGTCAACAATATTTGTATTTGGAATATCTTCGACAAGGTTGACAAATTCTCCAATACTATATTTGAAACCTTGATGACCGTGTAATTTCTTCTTTTCATAAGAAATATCAACATCATAATAGAATTTCTGTTCAAAAACATGATACAAATCAACTCTTTCATCAAACTCCCAACAATGAGAATAAAGTAATTTACACCAACTCTTCAAACATGTTCTCTTCACCCACATTCTTTCCAAGTCTGTCGATCTTTCAACATGATATTCAAGCAGCCTCTCACTCCTATCCACTTCACAATTTCCTCTGTAAATATAATGATATTTGTGATCATCTAAATAGACTCTTGCACCCAAGTTATCTGGATAAAATATCC